GGACTTTCTCCAATTTGTCCACATCCTTCCTGAAATCTGGTGCCCAGAACTGGACAATACTCCAGTTGAGGCCTAATCAGCGTGGAGTAGAGCGGAAGAATTACTTCTCTTGTCTTGCTTAGAAAGCTCCTGCTAATACATCCCAGAATGATATTCGCTTTTTTTTGCAACAGCGTTACACTGTTGACTCATATTTAGCTTGTGGTCCACTATGACCCCCAGATCCCTTTCTGCAGTACTTCTTCCTATGCAGTCATTTCCCACTTTGTATGTGTGCAACTGATCGTTCCTTCCTAAATGGAGTACTTTGCATTTATCCTTATTGAATTTCATCCTATTTACTTCAGACCATTTCTCCAGTTCGTCCAGATCATTTTGAATTTTAATCCTATCCTCCAAAGCACTTGCAACCCCTCCCAGCTTGGTGTCATCCACAAATGTTATAAGTGTACTTTCTATGCCATTATCTAAATCATTGATGAAGATATTGAACAGAACCAGACCCCGAACCGATCCCTGTGAGACCCCATTCGTTATGGCCTTCCAGCATGACTGTGAACCACTGTTAACTACTCTCTGGGAATGGTTTTCCAACCAGTTTTGCATCCATCTTATAGTAGCTCCATCTAGGTTGCATTTCCCTAGTTTGTTTATGAGAAGGTCATGCAAGACAGTATCAAAAGCTTTACTAAAGTCAAGATATACCACGTCTATTGCTTCCTCTCTATCCACAAGGCTTGTTACCCCGTTAAAGAAAGCTATCAGATTGGTTTGACACAATTTGTTCTTGACAAATCCATGCTGTTACTTAACACCTTATTATCTTCTAGATGTTTGCAAACTGATTGCTTAATTATTTGCTCCATTATCTTCCTGGGTACAGAAGTTAAGCTGATTCGTCTGTAATTCCCTAGGTTGTCCTTATTTCCCTTTTTATAGATTGGCACTATATTTTTCCTTTTCCAATCTTCTGGAATCTCTCTCATCTTCCATGATTTTTCAAAGATAATTGCTAATGGCTCAGATATCTCCTCAGTCAGCTCCTTAAGGATGCATTTCATCAGGCCCTGGTGACTTGAAGACATCTAATTTGTCTAAGTAATTTTTAATTTGTTCTTTCCCATTTTAGCCTCTTCTGATCCTATCTCATTTTCACTTGGATGCTCTTCCCAGAATATGCACCAAAGCAGGACAGTGGTAAAAACATTTCCTGTGTCAGTAAATTTGGCCTAGTGACCTTTAAGTTCTAAATGACCTCTTCATAGGATTGCCATTTCCGGTGTATCTCCCCTCTTCACAACTCAGCCTCTTCTTAGACAATGGCAAAGTAAGAACAGCTGATGGCTAAAGAAATGGAGAAATGGGCATTTAGAGACAGATGTACTGGGTCATTATGCCTGGCTGAGGATTTGCCATTACCGAGAGTTCTTTTAGTGCAGCCAGTATTGATTGTGCAGCCGAGCTGTGCACAGCACCAACAAGCCTGGCTGTCCAAGAATGTACTGTATTTGGAAAGTGTGCTCAGTCCTCTTATAAACCCAGAAAACCACCTGGGGTGGAAGCAGTGCTGTTCCTCGGGGTTGTGGAAGGGTGTATGTTTAGCATGCATGAGCCATAGGGAATCTTTGTTGCTTTAACTGTATTTGTCCCCATCTCTCTGCCTCATCTGAATTTGTTGAGAGCCTTGAGGCTCACCAGTATTTTTGAGTTTTTCAGTCATACTTCAGAAAAATAATTGCTCTCTATTTAAAGCTTGTTTTCTGTGGAATTCAAAACCCAGCAAAGAGGCAGGAGATCGAAACAGTGTTTGGAAAAGAGCAAGGGTGCTCTTTTCACAGCAGGCCTTCTGGTTAGCCTCAGCTGTTCTCCTTCTGGCCCGCTAACCTGACTAGGCTGAGCTGCTCCTCACCAATGGGCTCCTTGTCATTATTACACTTCCTCCCTTACCTGACACTTTGTTTGCCAAGTGGATTGCTGCATTAATTGTGTTTTCTTCCACGATTTCATCAATGATGCCCAGCTTCAGCGCTTCAACAGCCAGCACACGTTTCCCTATAATGAAGAAATAAGGTGGCTTCAGCTTCCTGCTTTCAGAGATTTCATTAAATTCCATTTGATAAAACTTCTGTATTTGGCTGGCCTGAGATATGTTCCCAGTTGGGATGCATTAGTCACACCAGACAGGAACATGCACTGCTAACTAAATCATTAATTGGCTTTGCTCTGGAATGGCAAAAGCAGGTGTGCTGAGATAACACAGAATGGGAAAAAACAAAGGGAAGCTAGCAGTAAAAACTGAAGGCCGGGTACATCCTGTTCTGTCAGTTTTCTCCTATTCTAATTAACTTTGAAGTGTGGTTATACACCTTAAAAAGAAAAGGAGTACTTGTGGCACCTTAGAGACTAACCAATTTATTTGAGCATGAGCTTTCGTGAGCTACAGCTCACTTCATCGGATGCATACCGCAGTTTCCACGGTATGCATCCGATGAAGTGAGTTGTAGCTCACGAAAGCTCATGCTCAAATAAATTGGTTAGTCTCTAAGGTGCCACAAGTACTCCTTTTCTTTTTGCGAATACAGACTAACACGGCTGTTACTCTGAAACCTGTTATACACCTTGTATTTCCCCAGTTGTGCTCTCTCAGCACAGCAGGGTACTGAGGAGCAAAACCCCTTTTCATTTAAAATGTCCCACTGTTGTCACAGCTGTTACTCTGAAACCTAAAGGTTTCCGTAATCTAATGTGTACAGACAAAATGGCAACTCCGTCTTACAAGAAAGAAAATGGTAATAAATATCTAGATAGAGATTACAAAGCCATTCCTTTTGTCCCCCAGTTAGACCACAGCTAATTCCATTCTGCAAGAGATGCATAGGTATGAATGCATGCACACATGAATGTACCATCTAGGGTATGTCTACACTACAAAATTAGGTCGATATTATAGAAGTCAATTTTTAGAAATCAATTTTATACAGTCGATTGCGTATGTCCACACTAAGCGTATTAAGTTGGCGGAGTGCGTCCTCATTACCGCGGCTAGCATTGACGTACGGAGCGGTGCACTGCGGGTAGCTATCCCACAGTTCCCACAGTCTCCGCCGCCCATTGGAATTCTGGGTTAAGCTCCCAATGCCTGATGGGGCAAAAACATTGTCGTGGGTGGTTTTGGGTATCTGTCGTCAATCGCCCCTCCCTTCGTGAAAGCAACAGCAGGCGACAGTTTTGCACCTTTTTTCCGTGCGGACGCCATATTGTTTACAGCAGACGGTGCAGTAGGACTGCTAACCATCGTCATCCACTGCTTCTGCTGCAACTCTGCTCTGCTGCTATTGGAAAAATTCGCTATTGAGACATGTTGTCTATCATGGGCTCCCGGGTATGTGTGCTCTTCCTCGGGAAATGTGCGCGGTGCTAACAGTCGTTATCCACCGCTTCCGCTGCAACTCTGCTCTCCTGCTCTCATGAATCCAACTCGCAGGTCCTCTCGTCGTTCTCTATAAATATCTATTCTCATGGCATCCGTCGTCAGCCACCGCTTCCGCTGCAACTCTGCTCTCTTGCAGACACCATATCACAGCAAACCTGGAGCCCGCTCAGATCACCGCAGCAGTTATGGGCATTGTAAACACCTCGTGCATTATCCTGCAGTATGTTCAGAACCAGAACCTGCAAAGGCAGGCGATGGAAGTGCGGTGACGAGAGTGATGGGGACATGGACACAGATTTCTCTCAAAAGTACAGGCCCCGGCAATTTGGACATCCTGGTGGCAATGGGGCAGCCTCATGCCATGGAATGCCGATTCTGGGTCTGGGAAACAAGCACAGACTGATGGGACTGCAGAGTGTTGCAGGTCTGGGATGATTCCCAGTGGCTGCGAAACTCTCGCATGCGTAAGGGCACTTTCATGGAACTTTGTGACTTGCTTTCCCCTGCCCTGAAGTGCAAGAATACCAAGATGAGAGCAGCCCTCACAGTTCACAAGCGAGTGGCGATAACCCTCTGGAAGGTTGCAATGCCAGACAGCTACTGGTCAGTTGGGAATCAATTTGGAGTGGGCAAATCTACTGTGGGGGCTGCTGAAATCCAAGTAGCCAACGGAATCACTGAGCTGCTGCTATCAAAGGTAGTGACTCTGGGAAATGTGCAGGTCATAGTGGATGGCTTTGCTGCAATAGGATTCCCTAACTGTGGTGGGGTGATAAACGGAACGCATATCCCTATCTTGGGACCGGACCACCTTGGCAGCCAGAACGTAAACCGCAAGGGGTACTTTTCAGTGGTGCTGCAAATACTGGTGGATCACAAGGGACGTTTCACCGACATCAATGTGGGACGGCTGGGAAAGGTATATGATGCTTGCATCTTCAGGAACTCTGGTCTATCTGAACAGCTGCAGCAAGAGACTTACTTTCCAGACCAGAAAATAACTGTTGAGGATGTTGAAATGCCTATAGTTATCCTTGGGGACCCAGCCTACCCCTTAATGCCATGGCTCATGAAGCCATACACAGGCACCCTGGACAGTAGTCAGGAGCTGTTCAACTATAGGCTGAGCAAATGCAGAATGGTGGTAGAATGTGCATTTTGACATTTAAAAGCACGCTGGTGCAGTTTACTGACTTGGTTAGACCTCAGCGAAACCAATATTCCCATTGTTATTGCTGCTTGCTGTGTGCTCCATGATCTCTGTGAGAGTAAGGGGGAGACGTTTATGGTGGGGTGGGAGGTTGAGACAAGTCGCCTGGCCGCTGATTACGCGCAGCCAGACACCAGGGCGATTAGCACAGCAGGGCGCGCTGCACATCAGAGAAGCTTTGAAAACCAGTTTCATGACTGGCCAGGCTATGGTGTGACAGTTCTGTTTGTTTCTCCTTGATGAAAATCCGCCCCCTTGGTTCACTCTACTTCCCTGTAAGCCAACCGCCCTCCCCCCTCGATCACCGCTTGCAGAGGCAAGAAAATCATTGTTGTTTCAAAATCATGCATTCTTTATTAATTCATCACACAAATAGGGGGATAACTGCCAAGGTAGCCTGGGATGGGTGCGGGAGGAGGGAAGCACCGGGTGAGGTGGTGGATGAGGGGAGGAGGGAAGGACAAGGCCACATTGCACTTCAAAACTTATTGAATGCCAGCCTTCTGTTGCTTGGGCAGTCCTCTGGGGTGGAGTGGTTGGGTGCCCAGAGCTCCTCCCCCCCGCGTTCTTGGGCATCTGGGTGAGGAGGCTATGAAACTTGGGGTGGAGGGCGGGCGGTTACACAGGGGCTGCAGTGGCAGTCTGTGCTCCTGCTGCCTTTCCTGCTGTTCCATCAGATGCCGGAGCATATCAGTTTGATCCCCCAGTAGCCTCAGCATTGCATCCTGCCTCCTCTCATCATGCTGCCACCACCTCTTCTCTTGCTCACACAACCTCTCATCTTGCTCATCCCTCCTGTCCTCACGTTCATTTTCTGCTTTCCTGGATTCTGCCATTGTTTGCTTCCATGCATTCTGCTGAGCTTTTTCAGTGCAGGAGGACTGCATGAGCTCAGAGAACATTTCATCGCGAGTGCATTTTTTTCGCCGCCTTATTTGCACTAGCTTCTGAGACGAAGATGATAGGTGGAGCCTTGAAACATTTGCAGCTGCGGGAGGAAAAAAAGGGAGAGTAGTATTTAAAGAGACACGTTTTAGAGAACAATGCGTAGACTCTTTCATGGTGAACCAAGCTGTTAACATTACATACTACAGGTGCTTTCGGTACAAGGTCGCATTTTACCTCTTATATTGGGGGCCTGCCGGTTTGGTGTGAGAGATCACACACGCGGGGCCGGGCAACAGAATTTGGCTTGCAGGCAGCCATGGTAAGCCACAGTCTTTCAGCTTCTTCAACCTTCATAACATATAGGAATGGTTTCAAACAGCAGCGCCCTCCTTTCCCGTACCAAGCACCCGTTGGGTTGGCAGTTTAAAAGGAGGGGCTGCAGTTTTTGGGTTAACGTGCAGCACAAACCCAAATCCCCCCCCGCTCCTCCCACTACCCATTTCTCTGGGATGATCGCTTCATCCCTCCTCCCACCATATGACTAGTAGCAGGGAAGGTCCCTGCCAGCCGAACGTGAACAGCTCAGCATGAACGGGCCCCCTGTGCCATCCGCGGGGATGATTTCTTTTCAGCCACAGGCAAACAGCCCAGCAAGAACAGCCACCTCTGAATGTCCTCTTAATAATGTCCTTGGAGGATTTCCGCTCCATCCCCAGAGAGGTTAACAGACTTTTCCAGTAGCTGTACTGGCCGCGAATGTATCCCAAGTCTTCAGGGCAAATTAATCATTAAACATGCTTGCTTTTAAACCATGTATTATATTTACAAAGGTACACTCACCAGAGGTGCCTTCTCCGGCTTCATGGTCCGGGAGCCCACCTTGGGAGGGTTGGGAGGGTATTAGCTCCAGGGTGATAAACAGTTCCTGGCTGTCAGGGAGAACGGTTTCTCCGCTTGCCTGTTGTGCGCTATCCTCCTCCTCCTCGTCCCCAAAATCCTCATGACTGTTGCGTGAGACTCCCCCCCTTGCAGGTGTCCACGGACAGGTGTGGGGTAATGGTAGCGGCACCCCTTAGAATTGCATGCAGCTCATCATAGAAATGGCATGTCTGGGGCTGTGACCCAGAACGGCAGTTTGCCTCTTTGGTTTTTTGGTAGGTTTGCCTGAGCTCCTTAATTTTCACGCGGCACTCCTGCGTGTCCCTATTATAGCCTCTGTCCATCATGTCCTTGGAAATTTTTTCAAATATTTTGGCATTTCGTCTTTTGGAACGGAGTTCTGATAGCATGGATTCGTCTCCCCATACAGCGATCAGATCCAGTACCTCCCGTTCGGTCCATGCTGGAGCTCTTTTGCGATTCTGGGACTGCATGGTCACCTGTGCTGATGAGCTCTGCATGGTCACCTCTGCTGATGAGCTTGCCATGCTGGCCAAACAGGAAATGAAATTCAAAAGTTCCCGGTGCTTTTCCTGTGTACCTGGCTAGTGCATCTGAGTTGAACGTGCTGTCCAGAGTGGTCACAATGAAGTACTCTGGGATAGCTCCTGGAGGCCAATACTGTCGAATTGCTTCCACACTACCCCAAATTTGAGCCGGCAATGTCAATTTCAGCTCTAATCTCGTCAGGGAGAAGTACAGAAATCGATTTTAAGAGCCCTTTAAGTCGATAAAAATGGCTTCATTGTGTGGACGGGTGCAGGGTTAAATCGATCTAACGCCGCTAAATTCAACCTAAACTCATAGTGTAGACCAGGGCCTAGTGTCACACATAAATATGCCTTGGGAGTGTCTGCACACGTCGTGTCTGTGCATTCACACATATATACAGAGTTTATTCTAACATTCTGGCTTTGTCTAAACCAGGATTTAAAGGTTAATCTGTGTTAGCTAGCTCAGTCTAACATCTTCAAAAACTTAAGTTAAGACAAGGCAAGTTGTTTTGACTCAACCAGATTATCATGTGTTAAAATACAATTTGCATTGTCTGACTAGAGTTTTTGAAGATGTTCAGTAGATTGAGCTAGCTAAAATGATCCCGTGTCACATCTTTCCATCCTATTCTAAACAAAGCCACAGAAATTTACCTGTGGTGATTAGGTCAAGTGCAGCTGGGACCCCAATCAGTCTGGGGAGTCTCTGGGTTCCTCCAGCACCTGGAAGTATCCCAAGGGTGACCTCTGGAAGACCTACCCAGGCCTAGAGCCGAATGAAGGTAAACAGAAGGTCTAATTAAAGAAAGCAATAATTATATACTACATACAGAAGATGCAAGTACAGCAGAATCACAGTCACACCCCATTCCTTCTAACAAACTGCTCTGCGGAGTCCCAGAAAGGTGCAAATTGTGTTTTTCAGCAATTTATAACTGTGCTAGATCTGGATACATTTTAATGGGAAAAGCAAAAGATACCCCCCTGACACCACAAACATCACCTGCTAAGTTTCAGGTTTCTACTTCAAAAGTAGGGAGACACTAGAGCTCTTTCAAAGAAATCATTGAAGAAAAGTTCAACATTGGCAAAACTGCCTATATCCCCCCAACCTAATTCTTGAGAACAGTTTGTTGAAACTTAAAAGAAATCAAACCACTGTTCACATGGTTAAAGTTTAGCAAATTATAAGCAAATGAAAGTAGGTGATTATAATGGACAGAATTTAGCAATATTAACTAGAGATGTGGCCACCTACTCTGCCTATATTTGTAAACTTTCAAAACAACTCTAATGCCACAACAGAGTGGTAGAAACTTGAAATTTGGTCAGGATATAAACTTAGGTCACAAATCTGCCTTCAGTAACTTGGTGAACACCTGTGATGGTTTGATGATTTATGCAGGTTTAAAAGTGCTGTTTTTTGCTGGGCGCTATTGGCACTCATACATTCATCAGCTGAATGGAAATTCAGGCTTTCAATATTCCATTAGTTTTCTGCATGTGTGCATGAAAAATCTGAGTGGCCTTTTGTTTTCAATGTGTAGGTACATGTAGAATATGATCTGTGAGATTGTGTATGGGATGAAGCATGGCTCCATCATAGGTAGGTATCCCAGTGTGCCACATGCCATCCTCCAGTGCAGCGCCTTCTGGGAACTTTTTGCAATGTGTTGTGGGATAGAAATGACTCACCTAGGGATCTCTGGGAACTAGGAGTCAAGTTCCCAGCATGCACCTTTCTCCATCCCATAATGCCATCCATATGCTAAAATGATTGTGTTTTTTTTATTTCCATAAACCCACGTGGCTCTTTTCGCTGTCCATCATCTCTGACAGAAGCCTGGAGCTTGCAGACCTCTGTGCTATTCTCACGAACGCTGGAAATACAGGACACACGATTCTCGTGTATTTGCAAATCCATAGGAAGTACTGCAACAATGGGGGACATGACAATTTCTTGGAGGATAGTTTGCTGAGGGACATAGTGAAAAACAATTCAAGGCTTTTGGTGGCATTCACAGAGCAGCTGCAGGTGGTGGAGTGCTGCTTCTCGGCCTGAGAAACAAGCACTGGCTGGTGAGATTGCATCATAATGCAGGTTTGGGATGATAAGCAGTGGCTGCAGAACTTTTGATTGTGAAAGGCCAAGTTTCTGGATTCGTGTGCTGAGCTCACCGCAGCCCTCCAGTGTATGGACACCACAATGTGAGCTGCATTGACAGTTGAGAAACAAGTGGCTATCACACTATGGAAGCTTACAATGCTGGATTACTACTGGACAGTGGGAAATCATTTTAGAGTTGGAAAATTCATAGCGGGGGCCATTGTCATGCAAGTGTGTAGGGTCATTAACCATCTCCTGAGATGCAGAACTGTGATTCTGGGCAACGTGCGCAGGACATCATGGATGGATTTGCAGGTTTGGGATTCCTGAACTGAAATGGTATGATAGATTGAACACACATCGCTATTTTGGCACCAGCCCTCCTTAATACAGAATATATCAACAGAAAGGGCTACTTTTCTATAGTTATGGAAGCATTTATGGATCATTGGGGATGCTTCACTGATATCAATGTGGGCTGGTCAGAGAAGATGCATGATACTTGCATCGTTAAGCACACAGGATGGTTCGGAAAGCTGCAAGCAGGGACATTCTTTCCTGACCAGCGAATTACTATTAGTGATGTTGAAATACCAATAGTGATTCTTGGAGACCCAGCCTACTCCTTGCTTCTCTAGCTCTTGAACCCAGACACCTGCTACCTCGACTGCACCAAGGAAAGATTCAACTACCAGCTCAGCAGGTGCAGAACAACAGTTGCATGTGCTTTTGGTAGACTGAAGGGATGCTGACAGTGTTGATTCACATAGTGGCCTTTGGTGTCCTGCATAATATCTGTGAGCCAAAAGGGGAAAAGCTGCTGCCAGGGTGGAGGTGGAGCAGCTGTGAGCAGACTTTGAACAGTCAGACACAATGGCCATTACAAGAGTTCAGTGTGGAGCTATATGGTTGAGGAAGGCTTTGAAAGAGCACTTTAATGGTCACTCACAGTAGTGTTCTGTGCTGGAGTGATCTCTGGGCCTGCAGCTTTGGATGCTACTAAGAAATGTCTAGTGCTTGCTGTACATTTATAACTATTACTGTGTGTTTTACTGAAATCAGGAGTTCTGTGGTGCTGTACATTTACAAGTACTGTATGCTTTGAGTACCATTTCACATTCTGCAATATGTGTTGTGAACAGATAAAGATAGTTTTGTTTAAAAAAATATAGATATTTATTGAGTAGAAAAAACAGTGCAGAAAGACAATGAGCAAAACACAACAGGCAATGCAATACAAACTTTTAACACAGACTAACAGCATGGAACTTTAAAATTGGAAAAGCAGCAAACATACCTGTCCATTTCAGTGCACAAATGTAGTCCCTTGTGGCTACACATATACCAGCTGTGGTTCTCACAGGCCAGTGGATGTAAAGCTGTGGTTTTCCTTGCTGTCCCTAGACAAGAAATGGTAGGGGCAGGGATGCAGTCTGTGATGCCACATGGTATGTTGGGGGGTGTAGGGAGCTGCTAGCATCGAGTTCTCTAAGGACTGCAAAGGGTGGGGAGTCCGTGACTTTTGGATCTGTAGGTCAACTAGGGTCTGCAGCATTTGGGACCGGTAACATGTCCTGCCTAGTCCTCTTCCTTCTCCCCCTCATCAAAGTCAGGCGTTCTCAGGGTGTGGAGGGGGCAAAGGTTGCAAAGGCAGAAGCTGCTGATAAAAACAAGACAGATGTGTCATTGGATTTATGGTCACAACAAAAAGTGGAAGATAAGGACGAGGGGTGGCGTGGGGGGGTTGAAACTAATTCCCATAAAAACTTTTAAAAAGACATGCTTATTGACATGTCAGCTTTGGGACACCTGTGCACAGTACCGCTCTCCAGCCCCAGCCATAGTGGGTATGGCCCACCAGTGGTGAGGGGAGAGGGGTGGAAGGAATTTTGGTTTCATGAAACAATAAAATGTCGGTGCCTATTTCAGTGGGTACAAGCACAGGGCAATGATACTGAGTATTAGGAGAATTTTTTTTACTGGTCGTGATGGTTTTAGCTGATATCTCTCTCCTGAGGGTCACAAAGGCACAGAGAGCACAGCTGCTACTTGTGTCTCACAGCTGCCCAGGTCTGTATGCCACTAGCCTGTTTACTGCAGTGGTGCCAGCCAAACTCATCACAGAGTGGCATGGGAAAGTGTCCCACCATTGAGGAAGAAATAGGGCAGCCAACCCTAGAAACCTTCGGGAGAGGATCACAGAGTATCTCCATGAAAGTTTCATCAAGATTTCCTAGGAGGATGCAGCATACATAAACAAACTGCTTCGCATGATGCCTCCTGCCTAATCCAACAGGGGAATGAAAGCAAATACCAACTCAACCTCTGTTTGTTGTACCTCTACCTGTTCTTGTACACGTAAAATTGAAAAGTTGATACTTGTGTCTTGTGAACTTGGGTATGGGTTGGGTGCCATCTTTAGATTTAAACACCGTAAGAAATAATGCATGCACAAACTTACCAGAGGTTCCTTCCCCTTCATTGGGCTTGTCCATGCTCAGCTGGTGGGACTGGCTAGACTGTGGTGGAGTCATGAACAGGTCCTGGCTCATGGCATGGTTGGATCCTTCCACTGTATCTCCACCCGCCCCACCTCAACTGCTCTTCCTCCACCAGCTCCTCATTGTTCGGGCTCCTCCAAGGTATCCATGGCGGTCTGCGGAGTGCTGATGGGATCTCTATGAAGTATGGCATGCAGCCAGTTGTCAGAGTGGCAGGTTTGCAGCACAACACGAGATCGATAGTTGGTCTCCTTGGCTCTGAGGTACGTCTGGTGCAATTCCTTCGCTTTGGCACTGCTGCTGATCCCTGTTGTACCCCTTTGCCTCATTCCCCAGTGCAAATATTTTTGCAGATGTTCACATTTCTACAGCTGCTCCATAGCTGTGCTTGCACAGCCTCTTCTCCCCACAGTCCCAGGAGATCCAGTATCTCCTGTCTGCTCCAGACAGGAGCAGGTCTAGCGTGTGCAGCCAGCATGGTTGGTTGGGCAGTTGCACGCAACAAGAGAGAGTTATTAGGTGTGCTCATGAGGTGGGCAATCAGGAAAAGGCATTTCAGATATATGTGGGTAGCTTTATAAGGGCTGGGGTGGCTTCTGGTCCCTGTGACCCCTGGGCAGTGGAGTTTGCAACTGTGACCAGAGCAGACACTGTTGCAAGGAATGGGGCATAATGGGACAGCTGCTGGAGGATTGTTAGGATGGACCCATGTCATGCAGTGCATCCACCTCAGTAGGTTGACTGTGGCTCTATGCCATTCAGGGAGGTGGTTTTACTATGTCATCGTAACAGGGTGCTTACGTTGGCTGGAGACAAATTTGCTTGTAATCAGATACACAAATCGGTTGACACAAGGTGACTTAAGTTGACTTAACTTTGTAGTGCAGAGCAGGCCTAGGTCTCACTCTTCCTGTGCACCTGCTTCCCTATTGCCAAGGGCAGTGTAGAGAATGGGAGGAGCTGGGGGTGAAGCTCTTAAGTGGGATCCTCAGCATGCAAATGAGGCATTTGGTTATGAGCTCTTTCCTCTAGCCTTTCTT